ACAACAAAAAAGAGTGCAACTTGAGAATAAGTCTAAATTGGTACTTCACTAAACTTGCACTGAATATTAATATTGTCAAGTTTAAAAAAAAAAAATCTATCTTCGGCCCAAATGTCACACAACTTCCATCGTGTGCCACATAAGCCAATGAATTACGTAACTCCGTTTGTCGCCTATCAGCTTATGCTAACAAATTATCATGTAACTGGATCATTAAACGGGACAGGTGGACATCGGCCTTGGAACTCAGACCATCATGTCAGGCACTCCTCAATGCATAGATGATGCACATAACACTATGGGTAGTACAGGCACAGCTGGGGGTACTGCCCAAACAATGATGAACGCATTGCGTATGCTTAAAGAGTTACCCACAATTCCGGTTTTTACCGTTAAGGTCTGGCTCTAATCACTTACGCGATCCCCTGACGTCTCATACACTGACTTTAGGCAACATAGTCAGACTTTCGCGGTCTAGTAACCAGACTGTGACTCTTAACGAAACATCGAATGAAAAGTGAAACATCAAATGCATATTGCAAAAGATCGAATGCAAACATACCGATGAAACATCGAATACGAATAGCTCGAAATGTCGAACATATTTGTAAAACATTGCTCACATATTTGAGAATATCGCAAATATATTGTAAAACATCACACACAATTGTATCGAAAAACATCGCACATTTAATGCAAAACATCGAACATAATATTGAAAACATCGCACATATTATATTTCGTCAAACATCGCACATATAAATTGAAAATCGCACATAAATGTAAAACATCGCATACATATATTGAACATCGCACATATATTATAAAACATCGCACACATATATTAAACATCGCACACATAATGAAAAACATCGCACACTTATGTTGAACATCGCACATAAATGTAAAAGATAACAAACACATATTGAACATCCAACATATATATTGTAAAACATTGAATATTGCAACGTTTGACACGCCATAGTAGTCAGGCCTCCTGCCTGGAGTTGATTACTTTTCCAGAAACTTGGAATGTGTGGTTGACCCACCCAGGGCCAAAGGACAGGTTTTCTTATGGTGGTTCTTAATAAATGAACAAAAATATAACATGTACATAAAACAATGTAGATAACAATAATTTCAATACTTGGAAACATGAAAACAATTCCAAACTTGTGAAAAAGCAATCCCACATACTGACTGTTAGGATATAAAATATTAATCAAACTTTCAAAAGAGATAGGAAAAGCAAAGGTGCCAAAAAGATATGATTGAAATATGCTTAAAAATGTTTAGAAAATGTTTTTGGAGTAGAATGTGTAAGTAGAATCAACAAAATACAATTTTCAAAAAAATAAAAAAATTAATAATATACCCAAATCTGGGGAAAAATATATTACATGACAGGTATTAACGATTTATGCAAAATAGGTATATTTATGGTCAAAATTAACGATGGCATCCACCACATCTTGTCTGTTATGGTTCAAAGAATTGATCTAGCATGGATGCCAGCTATTACCAAAAAATACTGTGAAATTATTTTCTAGCGAACTTTTCCACATTTGGCTGGCCTACTATTTTGAATTCAGGAAAAATTGACTAGTGCATTGTTCCTGGCTAGACTGTTTCCTGGCTAGCATCAGACAGACCAATCACAGGGCACTTTATTGGTCGCAGTGAAAACGCTCAAAAGAGGCATCATGTGATGATAAAAGAGTTCAAAAATAAACCAAAATAGCTCTTCAACTATGTGAGGGCAAAACAAAATGTCAAATCAGGCATCTCAAGACTGGAAGACAAAGATGGGAATTGGAAAAAAAATGAAGAAGAAGCTGTAAATGTACTGAATAAATTCTTTGAGTCAGTTTTCACAAAAGAACCAGAAGGGGATGTCCCTCATCTTGACACCAAGCTCCACGGGGATGGAATGACAGACTGCATCTTTACTGAAGACGACGTTGTAGAACAACTCAAGAAATTGAAACCAGAAAAATCACCAGGGCTGGACAACATTCACCCACAAGTGCTGTTATATTGTGCTGAGGAGTTAGCTACTCCCCTGTTTATAATCTTCAGAAAGTCCTTAGATGAGGAATGCCTACCAAAAGAGTGAAAAACTCCAAGGACCAATATTCAAGAAGGGAGCTAAAAAGTCACCAGACAACTACAGACCTGTGAGTCTTACGTCAGTACCATGCAAGGTTCTGGAATCCATCATAAGGATGAAGATGTCGGAGCATCCGAGGACCCACGATCTACTATCAAAGGAACAGCATGGTTTCATGAAAGGGCGATCATGTCTCACCAACCTGCTGGAGACTCTTGATGATGTAACAAGGATGCTGGATGAAGGAGGGGGAGTCAACATGATATACCGGCACCCGATTTCACGAAGCGCTGCGACGCGTCGCAACTCTAGATACGACGTGTAACACGTCGCAACTCGCGACGCGTCGTATCTTCCATTTCACTAAAGTTGCGATGTGTTGAACGCGTCGTAAGTTCCTTGACAACGGCTTAAAACACGTCGCAAGTTACGACGCGTCTAGTGGTCATCGCAAAATAAGAAGAGTCATTTCTAAGCCAGTTTTATGCCACAAACATTACATTAACGAGATTATAATACCGAGGCAATGTGTGTAAAGTTGTAAATAGAAAATTCAATGAATAATTATGAATTAGACCGGAATATTAGAGTTGAAATTTCAAAGTAGCTTTACAGTCCAATGAGAGCTTGTTTTCCTTCAAAATTACATCGCACGGCTGCCATTTTGTTTTACGTTTTAACAAATTTCGAGCTGAGATCCGACGACTCTTTGTTGAATATCAGACGACTATTTACTGTGCGCTGACTAAAGACATAAAACAGTCACCGAGTTGTGCTATAAATACACCTACGACGCGTCGCACTTACGACGTGTTTAGTGAAATGGATCGCAGGACGCGTCGCAGCTGCGACGCATCGTAGAGATACGACGCGTCGCATCGCTGCGATGCATCGTAAGTTACGAAGAGTTTGATGAAATCGGGTGCTGGACTATTCAAAAGCATTTGATTCAGTTCCACACAGAAGACTAATAGCAAAACTACACGCTTATGGGATACATGGAAAGATTAGTACATGGATCAGTGACTTCCTCATCAGTAGGAAGCAGCAAGCTACAGTAGGAGAGGCAGAGTCAGACTGGACAGATGTCATCAGTGGAGTGCCCCAGGGCTCAGTCCTCGGTCCTATATTGTTCGTCATCTATATCAATGACCTGCCGGAGAATGTGGAGTAAAAAGTCAAGATGTTTGTGGATGATACCAAAGTGTACAGACAGATGAGGGGAGATGACAACCAAGTGAAAATGCAGCAAGACCTTGACCTGCTCCAAAAGTGGGAAACACCAATCAGGAAACTGAATACAATCTTGGTGGAGAGGTGATCCCACATGACATAGAGGAAAAGGATCTGGGAGTTATAATCAATGAAGATGGGAAGACTAGCAGACAATGTGCAGCAGCAGCAAGCAAGGCCATGACTAAACTCAGAATCATAAAGCGCAAATGCTTCACAATGCTCTACAAAACTTACATCCGTCCCCATTTGGAATATTCTGTCCAAGCCTGGTGTCCATACCTTAAGAAAGATATCGCCATGTTAGAGAAAGTACAATGAAGAGCCACAAAACTCATCCCAGGCATCAAACATCTGAGCTACCCACAAAGATTGCAAGAAACAAAGCTATACAGTCTAGAGCAGAGGAGAACAAGTGGGGACCTGATAGAGACCTTCAAGATCATGAAAGGATTGGAAGGTATAGAGAAGTCCAAGCTCTTCTCAACCAATCCACACAGAGGCAGAGGACACAGTTATAAGCTGAATAAGCCAGCTCTGAAAAAGGGGCTGAACTGTAGAAAATATTTCTTCTCAGTCAGAGTGATCACAGATTGGAATAGTCTCCCATCAAGGGTCATAGAAGCTAAGACCACAAACCAGTTCAAGACGCAGCTGAATAAGTTTTGGAAGGAAAAAGGATGTGGGGTCGTAAAGGCATAAGCCTGATAGTTGCCCATCAAACTAATGTGACAGCTCATTTACATATTTCTCCTGTGCAGCGCCCTCGCTTGACCCTTAAGGTAAAGCTCTCACTTAGCCAATTGTCTTGAGTGAGTCATTCCACCACTAGCACTGGTACTGTAAACACCACACAGTGTCCTGCCACTTCTACACATGTTCTTAGGGGTCGCACTAAACAGCGTCAACACAGCGTCAACACATGACAGAAGCGTCAACACACCGTCAACACATCCAAAACACATTCTGAATTGACAAAAAGGGCATATAATTGTGAAACATACAATAAAGGACAATTTCCATTGGATTGAGTTTCCATTTCGTTGTTAAAAATATCGTATTTTCACGCGAAAAAAATGACCTTAACTTGCACGGCCGTTGTCCGCCATCTTGACTTCGCACAAAGCTTGGACTACACCATTTCAAGTAGGGGTGTGTAGGTAATGACATTATCTTGTCATAAACAACAGAGGGCGCCTTGCAATATTAAACAATAATGTAAATACCAACGAACAAGTAAAGAAAATTAAACAACAAAGGCAATTGCAGCGTAAACACAGCATTAAATTGTTAGTCTTTGCAGATATTTTTAACACTGGCGACCCCGGCCGCGTCCCTCTCTGTTGGTTTATTGTACAACGCTATCACCCTTTAGAATAATGGTATGGTCCGCGCTGCCATTGAGGCAACATGGCGGGTGTTCGGTAGCCGATTTCGGAGCGGCACGGAGAGCCAATTTTCTTGAACTAAAAATTGCGATTTTCAGACGTTTAACCTATTAATTTTAAGCACAAATCTTGTTTCTGTCCATACTGTATGGGTTACATACTGCTTTTGTCAATTTTAATGCATTTTGGATGTGTTGACGCTGTGTTGACGCTGTGTTGACGCTTTGGAGTGTGTTGACGCTGTGTTGACGCTGTTTAGTATGACCGGTTCTTAGTTAATGCCTCAAGATTTTGTGGATGACTCGACTGGGGTAAGAATTCATTTATATTGTTTTAATAGTTGTTCTTATTGCTGAAGTTCCTAAGTTTCTTTTTATTGAGACTTTGTGAACACTTTTTGATTAATTCTGAAGTTAGCTTGAGTATTCTTAAACTTTACTCTGATTACTGAATTTAAAGTGGATCCATCCTTTAATGGTCTTTAGGAAGCCCAGATTCACTGTGTTGTTGTATTTATTATTGCATATTTAGAAAAGATCATCCTTTTGATGACCTTCTGTGTTTAGAGATATAATCTATTTCCATGGATTTGAAGGATTTAGATTTCCCTAACTTTGATTATGTGTACATGTATATCCACTTTATTTCTTGTTCACATTTAGTTAACTTCTTGAGTACACAAAGTTCAAGAATAGATTTCCTTATTTTACTATATATTCCTCATCATCTATTTTCCACTTTTTTATGGACATATTCTTAGATTTATACTTTTAGTGTATACATTCATAGTTCCTTTGTCCTGCATAGATGTCCATAGTGCAGTGTAGTATAGCCACTGTTTAGACCCTTAATCCCCTAAGTTGCTGCATATATAATGAGGTGCACTCAGTTTCTTGGAAGGCACCATACCTTAGTACAGGGAGGCAGGAAGTCTGCCAAGTATGTTTATTACCCTGCAGAGATTTCTTTTGTCCAGTGTTTATTGGAGCGTGTGACCTAAGATACCAGTAGTGTCTTATTAGACTGGCACACTAGTCCTTAAGTTTATGTGATGCAGCATATATTACTCATATTTCTCTTTTTAAACTTAATTAAGCATGCCATCTGCATATTTGTTTAGCATTTATTTAGTTATGTTATTTCTCCATAGTCCTTTTTTGTGTTATTAATTCATTTTTCCTAAGTTAGTTTCTTTATGGATCCTTAGGTTATAATGATGAGTGGACTGATTTAAGTCTATGGTTTGCTGAGTCCATAGTCATATATATTTAGAGGTCACTGCACATGTGCTTTAGTTATTTCCTATTTTGTCTTTGCAAGTTAAAGCATTCACATGCCTTGTATTAATTCATTTTGGAATTTAACTTGACTTTTCAGTTAGAAGCAAATTGTGTTATTGAAATAGATTTATCTCTATTGATTGCATTATAATCCTTGAGGATTATTATTGTTCTTTTTATAATTTACTTTGCTGGATTGGTATTTCCTAAAGCATTGTATTTATATGGAATTTCTATTTTGTATCTTTTCAGGGTTTGTTTTGTTTGTGTAAGATGCAGTTCACCATTAAATGAACCAGACACAGTAAATGTACACCATCCTTGTCGTGTCACATTTTCCAGTGTCACACTAAGTGTAAGTGTGATTGGCCCATTGAGGTGACCAATCCAGGTGACAAATCAAAGTGCCCTGTGATTGGTCTGTCTGATGCTAGCCATGAGCTAGTCTGGTTCTCTGTTCCCATTGTCCTTCTGACTCCAATATTTTCAGGAGGTCCAGGAAACAGTCTAGCCAGGAGCCATGCACAAGTCAATTTTTTTCTGAATTCAAAATGTAGCCTCAAACATGGCGAGTGCGACGAGAATGTTTCCTGAACTGAAATTACTCTTTTCATCCCTTGGGTATGTGAACCTAACCACCATTTGTATTTCAATTCCCACTGAAGCCTACAGGGGGCGCATAAGGCAGTTGAAAACTGCTTTGGGGTAAAATCTGATGATTTTGATTGGGGGTACAAGTGAAAATGTTTTAAAAAAATAATTGGTAAATGCGATACTGTTATCAATCTCGGACTCTACTATCGCCCGACCATGTCCAAATGTCAAAAAAGGCGATTCGTAGAGTCCTAGTTACTCGGACTAGTGTACAAACCCTATGAGACTGGTCTGAAAAATTATATGTGTTTTCCAACTTAATGCGTCAATATTTTCCCTGCTAAATTTCACTTTTTAGGACCCTCTGATGGTTGACGAGTCATTACAGGGAGAAACTAGTGGTGTACATGTATATTGAATTCTTTCCAATAGATGAAAGAACCATAGAAAGTAACTTTTGGCACTTGGAAATTGCTTGAAAATATGTGACGTACACGTGTATTGGAAGACTTTCCCGACTGCCGTTAAAAGATAGCCACATCCTCAGACTATAATGTTACTCAACTTACCAGAAACAAAGTGTTCACTAGTCACTACAGATCCGCAACAATGGTGTTCTGAGCAGCTAGCTGATGCCCGCTTGTCAAGCCTCAGCAATCTAGTTGCGGCGCCAGATAGGGTGTCCATCATGTCCGTGCCATGGTGCCGGTGTGGTGTCTACATCGTGACCATGTATGGGTCATTCTTCATTAAGTGTCTACTGTCATGTCCCGAACCTTTAAGGCACTATAAACAAACAAAAAATACAGAATGAAACTTAGATTTTTAAGCGGTAAAATTAACTTAAACATGACTCTGATTATGTGCAGTGTTGAAAACTCTTAAAAATAATGGACAAGATGCTCATTCTTTACAATGCTCCCTCAAACCCCTTCAAAACGCATGTCCCGATGTATTTCTCAAAATGTACCAGCAGCCATAATTTGTAAAGTTAGCTACTTGAAAAGGTTGCTTAGGTCACTTGGACCTCTGAAAATCAATACGTAGGGGGGGGGGGGGGGGGGGGGGCTCGTGCCATATTTTCAATGGGGAGCACTGATAAAATCCTACAATCAGGCACACTGTATTAACTAAAAGTGTACAAATGCACCCTTCTCATTTAGGGGGAGACTGTCCCCATGTACGTTAAATTCTTACATTTTGCTAGTGCATTTTTTTTTATGGATTTTTTTGGGGGGGGGGGGGGGGGGGGCTAGACAAAAGTGGGGGGGGGGGGCTAAAGCCCCCCTAGCCCCCCAAGAACCACATTATTTCCTATGCTACAACACCGAAAATTGAGTATTTATAAAGTGACTAAAACTCCACTAAAGATTGCGCCGTGAGCTAATTATAGTTGTTGTGCATAATAATGAACACATCCCAATCCCATGAAAGAAACTCAACCTGATTTAACAAACTTTTTTTCTGATGTTTCAGAAGGCCCAAAGTAGACACTTTAGGCCCTATTTGTTGGTGTACAGTACCCTTAGTCCGAGTAACTAGGACTCTACGGATCTGTTTCCTGGCAAGCATCAGACAGACCAATCACAGGGCATTTTGATTGGTCACCTGACCAAAAGTGCCTTGTGATTGGTCTGTCTGATGCTTGCCAGGAAACAGTGTAGCCAGAGCTATGCACAAGTCTGCTTAAATCCAGAATTCAAAATGTCAGCCTCAAACAAGGCGTTTGTGACAAGGATGTTTCTCGACTTGAAGGTGAAATTTCTCTTTTCTTCCTAAAGGTATGTAAACCTAACCACCACCATTTGTATTTTCACTTCCCACTTGATCAAGCCTACAGGGGCGCCTAAGGCAGTTTGAAGATCGTTTTGGGGGTGAAATCTGACGATTTTGATTGGGGGTACGAGTGAGAATGGTAAAAAAAAATTAATAGTAACCGCAATAGGGCCATCGATCTCGGACTCTACTATCGCCCGACCATGTCCTAATGTTAAAAAGCGATCCGTAGAGTCCTAGTTACTTGGACTAGTTTACCCTAACGTAGAACGGCCCCTTACATGGCGCACTTGTGCGCCACACTGACTTTCATCAAATTCTAAACACTCCCGTTCATAAATCACGAGATTATCTACCCGTTACAAAGTTAATATAGAAAATTTTATTTCGGCGTGATTTTCCGATTTTATTTCAAAGTGCGCAGTGAACCCTTTGAAAATGTCCCGAAAAAAAATAGAAAATAATTTTCTGACAAACCTCTAGTTGGGTATGTAGGCCTACATGTAAGTAGAGAAAATAATTGTTTATCAAAATTTATCAACTTTATAGAAATTCTTAAATGTTAACTTGGAATTTTCCAAGATTTACTCAAGTGCGCCACGTTGGGGAACACTTACAGACTTAGACCCGTGAACGTGGCTTGTATACAACGCCACGTTCACGGGGTCTAGGGAACACTCAAGACGATTTGTGCCCAATTTCCGGATGCACCGTTGTTGAATTAGGGATTAAATTTCATGAAACCGAAATTGTTTACAGAGGTTAAATAGCAAGCATTAATAAGGTAAAAGTACCAGTAATCAGTATTTCACTGAATGAATTTGAAGTTTGTCAACAAAGAAGTTTGGCAACACTGATGTGGAACTGGAAAGTCGGGGTAAATGTCGAAGTGCGCCACGTTAGGGAACACCACTACAGCCTACTACAGGCTACTTCTACTTCTACGTCGATAATTGACAGTGCGTCCAATTGGATATCTCGTCAATTTGCTTGGCGTGCACGGTGTGGACTAGCCCCATAATTGTGGCCTATTTACTGGACTGCCTCCGTAAACATAGGCCACACATCCACATGTACAAAAACGTGTCGACTTTGCCAAATTTTGATTTTCACATTTAGGCTTAGTTTGTAGGATTTTTTTGCTTTAGAACCATACTCACCCTTTTTATAGGCTAGTCAGAAAGTGCTGCCTTTTCCAGATGTCTAATTTTTGTGAAATTTCATGTTGAAATTTTGATACACAAACGTGTAAAAATGAATCTGGAAATTTCACGAAAAATATACATCTGAAAAAGGCAGCACTTTCTGATTAGCCTATAAAGAGGGTGAGTATGCTTCTAAAGCAAAAAAATCCTACAAACTAAGCCTAAATGTGAAAATCAAAATTTGGCAAAGTCGACACGGTTTTGTACATGTGGATGTGTGGCCTATGTTTACGGAGGCAGTCCAGTAAATAGGCCACATTTATGGGGCTAGGTGTGGACTAGTCCGAGTAGCTTGGACCCAACTTATCGCCTTTTTAACATTCGGACATGGTCTGGCGATAGTGGGGTCCAAGCTAGACCCGTGAACGTGGACGAAGCCACGTTCACGGGTCTACAAGCCACGTTCACGGGTCTAGGTCCAAGCTAGTAATACTAGTGCGAGCTGGACAACACAATTCTGTCACTGTCCAAAAAACCAACATTTTCCAACAAAAAACGTCAGATTTCACCTTCAAAACGGCCTCCAAATTACTAGATACGCCAACTGAGGCACAAGTAGACATCAATAATTAAGATGGTTGTACTGAAGGTTATTTATGATCTGGATGGAAAGTGAAATTTCCCGTTCATTTCCGAGAGCTCCCCTCGCGACCGTGAACACATTAAATTTCCGATTCGTGTTAATGTTTGAACGACGCGATGTGGTCTTTATTCCCAGTGTACATTCGATGGTTCCCGTATCCCGAGTGCGATTCCGTTACCGAGCGCGCGCAATGCATCGATTATGATAATGTAGACTGGATCGCGTTAGTAAACGCACGTGCATTTCGAATGGTAAAAGGGAATCGGGAACCAGCTTGAACTGGTATCCGTCCATAAAAGCTGCCCTAGTTCCCGAACCCCTATTATCATTCGAAATGCACTTGTATTTACTAACGCGATCCAGTCTACTCATTATCATTATCAATGCATCGCGCGCGCTCGGTAACGGAATCGCACTCGGGATACGGGGGCCATCGAATGTACGCTGGGAATGAAGACCACATTGCGTCGTTCACACGAATCGGAAATTTAACGTGTTCACGATCGCGACGGGAGCTCTCGGAATTGAACGGGAAATTAAGTAAACTTCCGGATCGTAAGTAAACTTCAGTAGACCTAGTACAACCATCTTAATTATCGATGTCTACTTGTACCTCAGTTGGCGTATCTAGTAATTTGGAGGCCGTTTTGAAGGAAAAATCTGATATTTTTTTGTTGGAAAATGTTGGTTTTTGGGACAGTGACAGAATTGTGTTGTCCAGCTCGCACTATTATTTATGGAAGTGTAGATAGGACATGGTTAAAAATAAAACTAATTCGTACGTACGAATTACTAAACCGTACGTACGAAATACTAATTCGTACGTACGAAATACTAATCCGTACGTACGAAATACTAATTCGTACGTACGAATTACTAAACCGTACGTACGAATTACTAAACCGTACGTACGAAATACTAATTCGTACGTACGAATTACTAATTCGTACGTACGAATTACTAAACCGTACGTACGAAATACTAATTCGTACGTACGAATTACTCAGTGGCGTAGCCACGGGAGGGGGGGGGGGGCAGTGGCGTAGCCAGGAATTTTTTCAGTGGGGGGGGGGGGGGGCGGCGCTGGGGGCTGGAACATTTCAGTGGGGGGGGGTGTCATGTAGATCAATGATAATTTTTTTAGAAACTCAAAATCTCAGTGGGGGCGACTGGTGGGCGACAAGGTTTCATGGGGGGGGGGG